TCTCAGTGATCCAGTAACGTGACTTCGAAAACCTACCTGATTTCACTTTGACGTCTGACCGTCAAAGCCAATGTAGAAACAAGCACATAAGCGCATCACCTCAAGTTGCTACACTTACAGCAGTATACAAAGAATAGGTGGATCGAACAAAAGTGTTATGAAAGTAGACAAAGTTACGGCCGAAATAGCTACAGGCTAGAAAAAGACCCTAGATGGCCAGACTAAAACATCGCACCAATATATGAAGTCTCTGACTGTTGGTTTCAGCCATATGGGGCGATGCAGACTAGGTGGTTGGGGTCCGCGGGACAAGAGTAACCAGTGGTTGGAGACTGGCTATAGGTGATATGGTTGAGAACCGATGTCAATGGTGCAGATGTATCCTCACACACATTATCCTTATCTTAACTTCACTATACCGAATCTCACCATTTTCTCATTCTTCCTTTCTCTCCCTCTTTGAATACTTTATATTTCTTATGAGTGAATTTTCTTTTCATCATTTTCCAGTTGACTGAGTTTTTCGTTGATGTAGTGTGTGGTGTGGTGTGGTGTGGTGTGGTGTGGTGTGGTGTGGTGTGGTGGCAACTCGGACCGTTATTGAGTAATGCCTGGTCCTATGTTGATATTGATGATGGATGATGAGACGAGGTTACGTGAGTGAATAAATAATTTGAAGATAAAGATTTATGCGAATATTCAAGTTCTGGAAGGCGTCGAGGAATGAATACATCTATGGCACTATGATCGATTTTCAGTCGTGTTACGAAGAGTCTTCAACCACTGATTGCTATCGTTTTTGAGACGCCAGCCAGGTGGTGCGTATCTCCTGATGCGACTCAGGGACTTCATTGACCGGTACAACGTCGTGGTCTGGTCACCCTGAAACCTCTTCCAACCTATTACAGGTTCATTTAGCATGGCGGTCACTCGACATACGTATACCCAAACCATCCTAGCTGTTGAAAGGTTTAGAACCTTCGTTTCAATTTACACTATCCAGCTAGTTGTCATCCTAATCGAAATTCATGCGGATTTTTAAGAGAGCCGTTGGTTGTAATAACTAATCCACTGGCTGTTGGTTCAAATCCTGCGTAGATTTTACCGCTTACGACATGAATCATCTTATCAGTTTGAGCTTTAACCACCATCATTATCATCCTCCATGTGAAAATTTTTAAGTTTTGCATAACCATAGAATGAACTTAGCTGCTATTATTATTTTTTTTCCCTTGGGTTCCTAGTGGAACACAGAGCTTCAGTAACACGTCTCCATTACATTTTGTCCTCTGTAGTCTTTTGAACCTGTCTCCACGACTGCCCACAACCTTTCATTTCTTCTTCACATGATTTCCTTCATGTCACCCTCAGTTGGGACGCTCAATTTGTCGTTTCCCATCTGGGTTCGACTCGAGTGCCTGACCTGGTGCATGATGTCTCTGAATGGTCTTTTCACTGTATGCTTAATCCAATTGATCTCCACTTTGTTGTGAATGTTTGTTGGGTGATAGATTGATGGTTGGTTGGTTCGTTGCCAGCCAGCCAGCCAGCCAGCCAGCCAGCCAGCCAGCCAGCCAGCCAGCCAGCCAGCCAGCCAGCCAGCCAGCCAGCCAGCCAGCCAGCCAGCCAGCCAGCCAGCCAGCCAGCCAGCCAGCCAGCCAGCCAGCCAGCCAGCCAGCCAGCCAGCCAGCCAGAGTTGCTTGTTGCTTATTCTTTTTGGCCATCTGAACTGTTTGTAAACGATCTACTAAATCCACCTCACTTTGTATCACAATGGAGCTGATGATGTACTGAATCGAATCAACCTGCCTTTATTAGTTATTAGTACAATGATTGTATAGTTGTAACTTGTTAATCTGGTCACTTGAATCCTAATTGTGGCTTTTTGAACCCATCTCCCTCCACCTAATAAGGTGATTTAAGGCAGTCGGGTAGTATCATTAGGCCTCTGATACAACATATGAGCCTACAAAGTGCTTTAGGTTTTCGAGTAAATTTCGATTTTACAGTGATCTAAATATTTGCATTTAGCAATAATAGACTAGAGAGAACTAACACATGTGACTATGCATACACTTAATTGAAGAGTAATAAAGTTGGCACACATATTTGTATATAATTTGTGCTATCATCAATTGATAAGATTTTTGTTTCTGTTAAATATGCAAGATAGTGAGTTAATTTCATTTCATCCTGTTTTACTTCTTTTCTGAACATTCTTTCCGTGTGTGTGTGTGTGTGTGTGTGTGTGAACGTTAATGAATGAATCCATGAGTACATTTCTGCATGAATGAATGAATAAAGTAGCCCTTTCAGGTCAAAAGGTGTGTCTATACTCTTTTCAATCAATTCTAATCGTAGGCTTTTTATCTTATATATTCATTCGACCGTTATTTTTTCTAAATTATTTCCTCCTGATCAAATGGAAAGTTATCTTTTTTTTTTTCCTGTAATTAGTCCCAAAAAAAAATATTTGCTAGTCTGTAGTTGGAGAAATTGAAGCCTATATGTTTATTGAACTCCTTCATCTATGAAAGCAATTAGTTATGAGTGTCATAGATGTACCTATAAAGGCCTTCTTATCTTCTTAAATTTTGAGGGGGTTGTGGAGATTTGGAAATATTTCAAGTTGTTATTCATCGAAGACTGACATCAGTTGGAGGAACAAAGGAAACCTGGGAGCACTGGACAGCTGTTTCGTCCGACTAGTATGGGACTCCTCAGCAGTGCGCACCCACGACCCCACCAGCAGGGATCGAACCCGCGACCTTCAGGTTCCACGACCAGCGCGTTACCATTGAGCCACTGGGTCAGAATCCAATGCTCCATATTTCCAACTTCTGTTAGCTCACGATATAGCGCAACCGCCACCCAATGTCATCGTTGAGTATTTGTCCTCACGGCCATCAGGCTTGACTCCACCGGTCACGACTTGTCATTGGAACTTCGGGAATACTTCTCGAAGCTAGTCACCAACGAGCACTAGTTCAATTAAATTTTGAGGGGTTGTGGAGATTTAAAATTATTTCAAGTTGTTATTCATCGAAGACTGACATCAGTTGGAGGAACAAAGGAAACCTGGGAGCACTGGACAGCTGTTTCGTCCATGAGGACAAATACTCAACGATGACATTGGGTGGCGGTTTGCGCTATATCGTGAGCTAACAGATGTTGGAAATATGGAGCATTGGATTCTGACCCAGTGGCTCAATGGTAACGCGCTGGTCGCGGGACCTGAAGGTTGCGGGTTCGATCGCTGCTGGTGGGGTCGTGGGTGCGCACTGCTGAGGAGTCCCATACTAGTTGGACGAAACAGCTGTCCAGTGCTCCCAGGTTTCCTTTGTTCCTCCAACTGATGTCAGTCTTCGATGAATAACAACTTGAAATATCTTCTTCTTATTTGATAGAGATTATTCTGATCATAGGAGAATCCTAAGCAGATATAAAGTACTCAGATGATATAGTTCTGTTAGATGAAGGCTCTGGCAAGATACTGAATATCTTGAGTAGCGATTTGAGAATGTTTGAAATGCATTTCTCTACCTTATTGTAAATTGTTACTTCACAATTCGTACAATTTCTTGTATAGACTTTCACCAACATATACCATTTCTAGGGCCACTGTGACATTCGATAGTCTATTAAGGATTGAGTATACTGTGCTGTAGTTCGCTCTGTTCTAGTGTATGTGTGTATAATATGGCAATTAAGAGTAGAGGAGATGAGAAGACTTCTGGTGTTTTGACGACCATTGCCTTTATAGCATAGGCAATGGGTCTGGAAAAAGGCCTGAGGTGGCCAGACTAAAACATCGCACCAATATATGAAGTCTCTGACTGTTGAACTGAGCCATGTAGGGTGGGTGCGATGCAGACTAGGTGGTTGGGGTCCGCGGGACAAGAGTAACCAGTGGTTGGAGACTGGCTATAGGTGATATGGTTGAGAACCGATGTCAATGGTGCAGATGTATCCCCACGCACATTATCCTCATCTTAACTACACTATACCGAATCTCACCATTTTCTCATTCTTCCTTTCTCTTCCTCTTTGAGTACTTTATATTTCTTATGAGTGAATTTTCTTTTCATCATTTTCCAGTTGACTGAGTTTTTCGTTGATGTAGTGTGTGGTGTGGTGGCAACTCGGACCGTTATTGAGTAATGCCTGGTCCTATGTTGTTATTGATTGATTGGTTGATTGTCATGACATGAGTAACGTAGAAGTCAGGTGTAGAGTTTTCGGCAGAGAGAAGAGGTAAGTCAGTTGACACGGTTGTGAACCTTCATCGACTGAGATAATTGGCTGGGACATCTGTTATGTATGACTAGTCATCGTCTACCTCGTCACACAATGTTGGCCAAAGTAGGTTCAAACTGGAAAAAAGCTTGAGGTGACCAGACGAAGATATAGCATGAATGTATGAAGTCTTTGACTGTTGGTTTGAGCCGTGTAGAGGTGATGCAGACTAGCTGGTTGGGGTCCACATGACAACGGAAACCAGTAGTTGGAGACTTCAAGTAACATAATAACTCAGAATCAATGTTAGTAGCGTAGATGTATCCAGAACTTATCTTCATCTTGACTGAAATACTCGATTCCGCCTTTTCTCATTCCTCCTTCCATTTTTTACTACTTTGAATAGATTCTTGTTTATTTTATCTTATAGTTTTGGTACTTCATGTGCTGATATGATATTTGTATACTTGGACTATTTCAGGGTAATATCATATGCTATATTGATCTTCTCTTCCTTGTCTCTTAGAATTAGAAGTCCCAGTCAGCATTCGATTTAAAGGTGTACAGTTTACACTCTTCTCAGTTTCACCAACCAATTTTTTTTCTTATACTTGTGACTTAAAAAAATGTAACCTGCTCATCTTTCAGAACAATGAAGTTGATGAGCATAAATTATTTTGTTGAAAAAAAACCTTAAGATTTACTCATACAGTGTTGCATAATACCTGTATTTACTTTATGCCTTTACTATCTTTTTCTAATAGGCATAGATACTCCTTTGTATAATCACAATAGACGGTTTAATCATCAAAAATATCAACCTAACAGAGAATCTCGTGATTCAGCATCGATTTTAAGTAGCTTCCCTGTAGCAATAGAGGTGAGTATATTGTCTTTTAGTGTTATATATAATTGAACTGGAAGGATATAAAATTTAAAGATTGTATTCATCATATAATGATATCAATTAAAAAAACTTGGGAGCACTGGATAACTGTTATGGAGTTCTTCAGAAGTGCACACCAACTACTTCACCAAGAATTGAACTGGGTCATTCCTCTTATTATATTTATATTTCTCTGTTGGGTTCCTAGTGGAACACAGAGCTTCAGTAACACGTCTCAATTCCACTCTGTTCTCTCCAGTCTTTTGAACCTGGCTCCACGACTGCCTACAAGCTCTCATTTCTTCTTCACATGATCTCCTCCATGTCACCCTCAGTTGGGACGCTCAATTTGTCGTTTCCCATCTGGGTTCCACTGGAGTGCTTGACGGGTGTGTGATGTCTTTGAATGGTCTTCTCAGTGTATGCCTAATCCAATTGATCTCCACTTTCTTGTGAATGTTTGTTGGGCGATAGATTGTTGATTAGTTACCAGAGTTGCTTATTGCTTATTCTTTCTGGCCATCTGATCTGATCTTCAGTATGGAGTGAGCGTAAGTGTGAGCTGTTGAAGAATGTTTGTAGTTTGCTGGAAATGCTTTTCGTGACGCGCCAAATGTGTCAATCATATAGAAGCAAGTACTAACTTGGCTGACATTAATGTTGAAAATCCGGATGTTGTTCACGCTTCATGCTCACTGAGTGCAGTGCAGTGCAGTTCAGCAGATCTCCACACTGGTTTCAGATTAATGCAGGAAGACCTGTCTTGCTGTCTTTCCGATCGTAGGCTTGACGTCGTCATTTGTGCCTGTGCCGCCTGTAGTTGAAGTGATGCTGCCTAGGTAGGTGGTAGATGAAAGATACTACTTTGTTTAGATTTCTGCTGTTGATGGTGATTGGTGTTTGTTTCTGTTCTTGTTGTCTTCTCTACGTTCACTTGAAGTCCTGTCTTCACTGCCCCACCTCTTCTCTCAACTTGTTGATTTTCGCCTGTAGATCTTCGAGTTTGTGTGACAGCACATTAGACATAACTTATCATGGGCGAAATGCAAAACTCCTAGTGTTCTTTCATCGGTCAAACAGCGTATACCCCTCTTCTCGCTCGTCACAGTTTGCTGCATAATCCAGTCGACCACAATCAAGAAGATCATCGGTGATAATGAGTCGTTCCTCTACTAGGTTGAAGTTCAATGGTCGTTCATGGCACTCATTTACATCGGCCAATAATTGTCTCCACAAACCTACAGGTCATTGTAAAATTATTTGGTGCACTGTTTATTAGAAAACCATCTACACGATTTACTGCATAAGAATGTCTTTAGATATTAACTATTCAAGTGACTGCTAGGTGAGTGTATCGACTAAGCTTTTGCCCTGCTTCATACCTTGTTGTATAGAAACGATATGAATTCGTCACAAGCAGTAGTGAGGAGGAGTATTGTGAATGCCACGCTAACTCACCTTCAACTAACTAAGCCTAATCTATCTAACTGCCGAATAGAATAGGATCACTCATGGTCATACTGATAGGCAGTAGGTTTACTGCTACCTTATCTGAGTTGAGTGGTTTAATCATGAAGCTTTCATTCTCTTTCTAGAGAACATCAGCAACAACACTAACTTCGATATGAAGTGAGTTATGAATATCTCTTGATGAATGATTGAGTAGTTTGCCTTGACGAAGTGGGTTCTAATCGCTTGTTTCCTTTGCTTGTTGTAGCACTGACTAAACAAATTCCCCCTTGATTGTTTCTCTTCCTCATTTCTAACTTTGTTGTTGTTGTTGTTGCTCATCATTTTTCTTATTCGTTGGTAGATTGGGTCTGTGTTTATGAATCTGTGCTTGTAAGAATTCTTCCACAGGTTTTGTGTCTCTGCTGCCCAGGATGTCAACATTATCAACTTTGAATTGCTGTCCATAGTTGTCTACATCCATTGATATAAGCGACAAAATGTCTTGATATTTACTGACCACCTAGCTGGTGTTCATATCTGTGAAGGCGAAGAAGATGAACAGTTTCAGTAATCTTGTCCTGGTCTCTCATATATTCTTTATACATGGTAGAATAGTCGTCTTGTTGATTTCTATGGATGACTGCGTTGTTGGTTGATGAACAGGGCAGGGATATTCTGATAAAGTTCCCTTGTAGCCATTCTTCTCTACCATGGAAATCAAGTAATTTTCTTCATTTTTCGTTAAATTAAGTGTACTGTAGTGTGTCCTTGCTTTTTTCGATGGACTGTATACACATTTAATTCTGTGCTTTGTTGGATTGTTGCTACTGTAGTTGAGGATTTGTTCAGTGTGTTTTGACTTGTGTTTCCAGTTTTCCGGTATTGGTTCTACTAATATCCAGAAATAGCAGTTGGTTGTTCGACTTCTTCATTATGAAGTTTATCTCATTGAGAATGTTGTTGATCAAACTGTAATGAAAATAAAAGTATTGTCCACATAGCCAATCCATCTGTTTGTATATCTTGTCATTAAATTGGAAGTATGTTGTCAGGGAAAGATCACTGTATTCCACGACACGTGAGTATTGAAGGTTTGTGCATTCTGTAAGTGTTCTGTTTTCATCAAGGTGGATAGACAGTATTCTTGGCTAGTTGTGGTTCAATTGGTATTCGTAATGCTGTAACATGGAAAGACACCATTAATTCATCCTTATCTATGTTCATGCCTTTGTTACTTTCCAGGAATTCTGTTGGTGATTTAATGGAATGTTTACATGATGACATAAGGTAGTTAAGTTTCCTTGAAAAAAGCTCTCTGACTGACTGCATTGTAAATTGAGACTATTGGTCATAGACAAATATCTGATTTGTCTAGTTGTAGTTTGCTGTAAAGCTGTCGTGTAATAAACAATAACTATTTGTACAGCTCTAAAATAAGCCATGTTAGGGGCAGGTAGATTTTCAAAATGGAGTGACTAGCTTTGAGAAGTGATTCCCGAAGTTCTAATGAGAAGTCGTGGCCAATGGGACAAGACGTGATGGCCGTGAGGACAAATATTCAACGATGACATTGGGTGGCAGTCGTGTTATGTCATGAAGTGACAGAAGTTGGAAATATGGAACATTGGGTTTCGACCCGGTGGCTCTAAGATAACGTTCTGGCCACGGAACCTGAAGGTGGAGGGTCCGATCCCTGGTGTTGCGGGGTCGAGGGTCCGCACTGCCAAGGAGTCTGATACTGGGACGAAACAGCTCGTCCAATGCTCCCAGGTCAAAATTGAAACTACAGACAAATATCTAGGCATCCGCAAAAGGGCCTATATGCCAATAGGTACCGATCACTTCGGTCTAGTCAACGATTGGTTAATATAGGTAACAACATGAGAACGAGAGAATTTCTATCTTTTGTGATTTTAATCATTAGTTTATCCTTCGCTGTTTTCTGTTTATTTCCAGTTTGACGTCGACATTAATAAAGAACCCTGGTTTCATGGTGTCTTACCTCGAGCTGAAGTAGAACGGTAAGTTGGTAGTACGTCATACTACTATGTGGTCATGTTTTCGAATGTTATATATATCTCCTTGTATGGCGTATGCATGTCTTTTCCTGTACTGTTTCCATTGGTAAGCCTTTACGTATTTCGCCTTATAACCATATATATATATATAAACATTTCTTCACAAATTTTATTACTAAGCTTTCTTTAACCTAACAGAAGACAGAAATAGCCCACAAAGAAACTACAAAATAATCAAAGTGTGCTCTGAATTTATCGATCCAACAACTAGTGTGTTTATGTCAAAGGTGTGGCTGTTTTGTCTACTGTGACCAATACTACTACTACTACTGCTAGCAGCAGTATGTTGTTTATACCGACTGATGCATTTACCTGACGTATCTACAGGATTACATGTACGTGTGTGTGTGTGTGTGTGTGTGTGTGTGTGTGCCATCATAACAATTGTGATAGCATGGGTGGATCATTTAAAGGCATTTCACTAATTTTAACAGCAACTTATCTACTCTGTACCAAGCTTCTTTACATTAGAAAAAGGCTAACAAATAAATGTAACTAATTCATATGGAATGGAATGTTGTTTTCTGTTAAAAAAGAAGAAAGAAAGAAAGAAACGATGAAGACATTATGATCACAGATCTTGTCATCATTATTCTACATGTACAAACATGTTTATTGTTATTGACCTTGACCTTCAAATGTTCAAGTATTTACTATATTTTTCTTCTAATATTATACCTCTACTCAATGTGTATATCGAAACATTTTCTTAGTAGTAAAGATAAACATTGTGATAATTTGGTTGGTTGTGGCTAACAGAAGAACCCAGGATGCGCGTTTCGTCCTATTTGAGACTTGTCAGCTGGATATGCCGGCACTCTAGTCACGTTCCCACTGACACTCGAACCTCGTACTCATTGCTTCAAACGCCAAGGTGTTATCTACTACGCTACAAAAGAACGATACCCACAACCAACCGAAGTATCATAATTAACATTCAGGCAATATCGAGGCATCTGCATAGGAGCCCATATACCAATAGAGGTCGAACAATTCGATCCAACAAAACAACGGAGAATAACAAGTATGTCAATAAATAGTAATAACTACTACCTGTTGTACCAGAAGTGGCTATCGTTTTTCCATGGCATAGTGGATAACGCTTTGGCGTTTTAAGTGATAGATACACGGTTTGAGTGTTAGTGAGAACAACATCACACTGGGTTGCGGTACATCCAGCTGACGAGTCCCAAACAGGGTGAAACGTGCGTCCTAGGTTCTTCTGCTAGCCACAACCAACCAACCAACCAAATTATCATAATTAACATTCAGGCAATATCGAGGCATCCGCATAGGGGCCCATGTGTCAATAGAGGTTGAACAATTCGATCCAACAAAACAACGGAGAATAACTAATATGCCAATAAATAGTAAAGATGAACATTGTCTTCTGTATGTGTGAGTTGGCTAAGGGGCAACCCTATAGCATTTTACATGCTCAAACCTACTGAGACTGTTACACCAAGACTTTATGATCTACCAATATTGCATAAAAACTGTATGCCTTTCCGACTAGTTCTCAATATGGCAAACTCTCCATATCGTACAACCTTAAAATGGTTAGTACAACTCATGAAGCCTGTCCACAAAGAAGTTGTAAAGTACAATCCTAAAGATACCTTTGAATTTGTTGAAAAGATTAAGAATTTGAAAGTAGATAATGAGGTAATGATATCGTGTGATGTTTCATCTCCTTTTACTAACGTTCCTTTAATGGAGACAGTAGACTTTATTTGCAGTGAACTCACGAAGCATGGCATGAAAATACATATTCAAGTCTTTACATTGAAACAACTACTTCTGAAGTATGCAATGAACGCACAATTTCGTTTCAACAATGAACTTCACAGATAGTCTGGTGGTGGTGTACCTGTGGGGTCACCCTTTGGCCCACTCTTAGCAGTTTCTTTTCTCGCAAAATTAGAGAATGGTCCGCTGAACGTAACTACTAGCCGTTCTCAAAAGTGAGACTGATAAGAATGCTGTTCTGAACAAGTTCAATAGCATTCATCCCTCAATCAACTTCACAATGGAATAGGAGAAAAACGACAGTATCCCATTTCTTAATGTTCTGCTAGTATGAACGTTAGATGGAACTCGGAAACCAAGTGTATACAGAAAACCAACATCAACAGGTCATTACACGTACTTCTTTAATGCAGTCCGCCTCCAATACAAAAAGAACCTGATGAAAATGCCTAGCATACTGCGCCACAACTATTTCCTCAGATGGTGCTTTAGAGGAAGAGTTCGCCACCATCCGTAGGAATGGCTATCAAGACAAGTTTGTGACTGAGCATAATAATGTTACAAGGGTTAAGACAAGAAAACCAGCAGTTCCTAAGAAGCAAATCTTCTTGAAGCTGAAGTTTAAGACTGATATTGCCAGTGAAATCTTCACACAACGCATCAAAAGAGTCTTGCAGAAAGCATTCGCAGCAGGTAAATTATGTCCCATCTTTTACAATCGCATGATTCTAGGTGCAAGAAATAAAGACAAACTGCCAGATTCTGCCACTTCTATGTGCATTTATCAATTCAACTGATGCTGTGGAGCTAGTTACATTGGGCGTACAATAAGGCAGTTCCATCGTCGAATTTTTGAGCACCACTCATCATGGTTGAGCAAGGGACAAATTAGACCAATAAAGAGCTCCATTCATGCACACCTAGTTGACACAGAACAACAAGTGAACACTAGTAAGACTTTCAAAATGATTTATCATATTCCAATTAATTTACCACCATATGGATTACGCACTCGCCTACTTCACAGAGCAAAGGAGATTGCAATCCACCTTTACAAACCTAACCTTTGTATTCAAAATCGTTTGTTCGACCACTTTCATTACCGTGACCGTCAACATGATGTAACTTTTAGTATTACTTTGTACACCTCTTCCCCCTTCCCCTTGTTTCTATCAACATTCATTTGCCTTATCATCACGTAATTATATATTGCTTATGACTAAATACTCATCAAAACTCCCTCAATTTGCCTAAGAATAACCTATATAACCTATATTTCCAATTGATTGTTTACATCATTAGTTCCGAAACATCACCACGTGATTGATAATTTGATTAAGTTGTAAACCTATATATTAGTGTAGAGCCGAAAACGAAGACCTAATTAAAAAGGAATATATCTCTTCGCAGAGGTGATGATGATACCCAAGCAACGCCACCACCACCACGTGATGGTGGTGGCGTTACGGAAAGTATCTCCAACAAATTACAGATATTCATCAACGGCTGCCTACGCTGGCTCGTTACTGAAGATCAGATCAGATGGCCAGAAAGAATAAGCAACAAGGAACTCACTCTGGCTGGCAACGAACCAACGAAGCGAAAACCTACCACTCAAAAAATATGCACCGGAAAGAAGTGGAGATGGATTGAGCGTGCACTAGGAAGACCATTTGGGGACATTACACGTCAGACCAGGCACTTGAGTGTAACTCAGATGGGAACAGCGAGTTTGGCGTCCGAGGTGAGGGTGACATGGAGGAGATGATGTGAGGAAGAAATGAGAGCTTGTAGGCAGTTGTGGAGTCAGGTTCAAAAGATTGCAGAGAAGAGAGTGGAATGGAGACGTGCTACTGAAGCTTTATGTTCCACTAGGAACTCAAGGGAATGATTATAATAATAATATCTCTTCGCTCAATTATTCTTTTTCTAAATGTCTAATTGGGAATCTTTTTTAAGCAGTAAAGGTAAACACTGAGTCTTCTGTGTACGTGAGCATTCTATTTTTGTTAAGGACCTTTGGAAGCCTGAGCGGGCTTGTTGCCAATGAAATTTTAGCTCCGGGCTGACTTACCAGATCTCTGATTACCTATCAAAATAGGAATTTACTGCGCTGGACTTCCTTCTGTTCTGTTATACGCCTGTGAGACATGGCTGTGAAAAGTAGAAGATTTGAAGTGGCCACATCTGTTGTGTGACAACTAATGATACAACCTGACTGCCTGAGTCTCGATAGATGCAACTAGGCTCAAACCGCTAGAGCCACTGCTCCTGAAATAAGGTAGGTAGTTAACCAGGAACTTGTAATTGATGATGAGCAACTCTGGTCCAATATAATGTTAATGGTTTTCTTAGAAGTCTGTTATTCATTGAGAATTTGTCACTATTATTCAGCAACCATTGGAAAGTGAACTGAAATTAAGCAGTTAGCGAATCGCCTACCTTGTTTGACAACGGGAAACTAAGTGCTTGAAAATGTACCCATCTGGTAAGTCATATGATCTCCGAAGAGGTATATTGGCCAACGAAAGATTCGATTGACTTTCGCTGGTAAACGCGACTTTTGGCATCGGTGCCTATGAAGGATAGTATGTAGTGAGCAGCACTTTACCCTATCCTATTATATGACTTTGTTTAGTGAACATATTATGGATAAAGCAACAAGGATAATCTCAGACTTTTAAGCAGCACTACATTGATAACATCATAGGCTGCAAATGTAATTGACAGATTTTGGAACGTGGACAAGATTATCTGCACCTGTTAACTGAAGTATTTCTGAAAGCTGCATCAGTTCTTTCGATCAGTAGGTGTTGTGATAGTATCTGATTGTGAATGAATGAATTATCGAACAATTGTGTCATGCTAACCTTAACCATGTAAAGGCTTATGAAGAGCTATTGTTTGAAGTAATGACATCGCTTGGTGTCCATCAAGCGATGGATACTATCACTTTTCCTAAATGCTTTAGTGGATGTCACTCCACGAACCTCCAACTTCTGAGAGGCTGACTGAATAGACGGAAGGACATTTGTGGGATTTAAAGTATTTAAACTATATAATCCGATTAAGTGAATGCGCTGATAAAGTATGTGTATGTGTTTCATACCTTTCAAATGTAGCTTAATGTTTCAGAACTGGCCAATATTGACTACTATTCTTGAGGAAAGGTAGTTTGTGAAGCCTTCATATGAGCAGTGTTGAGACTAGAGATGGAGATCTTGGCAAAGAAGGCGAGTCAGTTGATGAAATTGTAAACATGAAGTTACTGAGGTGGTCTGGACAAATGTTGTGTTAGTCATCTCCCATCTTGAAGTTTGATGCCAGCCGAAGAAGAGTTGGGTTGAAAGAAAGCTAAGAGTTGCACGACCATCTGTTTTCTTTACTTGTATGATATACAACTGTCTGTGTCTCTATATACTAATGAATAAGTCTTATGTTGATCATTTCTGTCTGTTTTATAGTCTGGATATAACTATTTGTTTGAATATCGTTTCTTACCCTTTCTCATTATAGCCTTTTACAGAATCAAGGAGATTTCCTTGTTCGTCAGACAAGTAAACGTGCCAGTGGACGAGATACATTAACCGCTGCCAATTGGAATGGAATCAAAGATGATATGATGAATGGTAATCATAATGAAGTAACTTTCAATAAAGATATCAATACTGATGGAACTGTTTTACGTATGGTTTTGTCTGTATACTGGCATGGTCACAGACATTTCATACTTTACGGTGGAGCAGATTCCGGTGAAGGTTGGCATTTAGAAGATGGACATTTCTCCACAATAAGGTTAGTATATACAATTGACTAATAAGAATAATTATGCAACTATATGTAATCATGTCATCAGTTATGGTTTGTTTCAATGAACCTGATAAATCCTCTTTAGTTTTTTGCCTTGCATATGAATATCTGCGATCTACATTCATATACATCTCCGTTATGGTAATCATTTTCTACGAAACATGCCCGTTGAGTCATAGAGAAGAGATAATTCAGTGAAGAAACATTCTCTCTTTTCGACGACATCCTTCTTCTAAAGCTGTACAATCGTATTCATGTATATATTATAAACATATAACAGTCTATTATAAAACAATAGGGTACAATTGCATCACTAAGCCACCTAGTGCTAAAACAAACCGGAACCAAGAATGCAAAGTAGTTGTGTAATAAACTAAGACAGTAGTAGAAATATCGAGGAAGGCAAGGAGTTTGACAAGGTGAAAATTGTTGGTAGATAAGAAACGCAAATATTGAGTGTCCACTTGATAGATAGATAGATGGATGTAGAGAAGGTGAAGAATGAGACAAGGGTCATAATGAAGGTGATAATAACAATAAACTAATTAATCATAATGAAGTAGAAGACATTATGAAAGTGTTAAGACCATGGTAAAATGAGAGATTGAACATACTTCTTTTGGACTCAGTGATCAGGCTTGAATTGATGATGAGTTGCCAATGCCTCTGCTGTGCACAACTGTGGAAAGTGTACTGCTTTTGAAGTATTCCATGTGACATGATAAATGACATTGAAGGAGGATTGTGATCAGGCTGTACATGTCTAGAGTTGATCAAATGTTCAAGAATTGAACTGTTAATCGATTTACATTCTTCCCTCGACAAGCATGCAGGGTAGTGTTCCGAGATACGTTTGGAAATCGTGCACTTTGTGGCCTATATAACTAGCTGCACAGGAAGGAGCAAGTAAATTTGTAGACAGACATTGAGGTGGCCCAAATAGGCAACTTGTCCTTAACACACTCCGGAATAAGATGTTGACTAGAGAAGGTGATGTTTAGTTTTTCAGAGAAGAATGTCTTCTTCAGTGATCTAGAGGGCGGATTGTTGAGGATCTGTGCTGCCGTATCGCCTTTGAAAATAAGGTTCATAACCAAGGTGTTGTTAGGAACTGTGAGTAGTCACTCTGTATTCTGATTTACTTTCAAGTTGTCATGGATAAATGTGGATGGATATGCACTTTGCATGATGATCTTCCGTAGTTTATGCAATTCTTCGTCGATGGTATCCCTGGTGGAGATTGTTTTGATTCTTGAAGCTAAAGAATGGATTATATTCCTGTTTCTGCTGAGAGGCATGCAGCTATGGAAATTCTGATATTGTCGGTTCCAATTAGGGTTCCTATAAATTGATCGCTGAAGATAACCATGTGGTCTCCGTTTCAATAAGACATCGAGAAGATGGAATCGCGAGTTTTCTTCAAATTCTGAAATGAAGCTGATCGATGAGTGACAATCCTTGAACTTTTTAACTACAGTTTCACTTATCTGTATTTTGATTGATTATGATGAATGTGTGATGTATATATCTTTTATGTAGGTAGAAAGTATTAGTTGTTGAATGCAGCAGAGTATTGTCTATCTTCGGTGTAGAGTAATCAGCCAGCAACGGTCTAAGTGGCGACCCTATGGCAAGCCCATCTTTTTTGTCTATATAGATCATTATTGAATTTGAACTGCACATTGAAAGTAAATCTTATAATCAATTTCTTTGGGATACCCACCTGAAAATTATTATGTTTAATGAACTACTTTGCATTCTTAATTCCGGTTGTTTTTAGCACTAGGTAATGATTTAATCATACCTTTTTGTTTTAGGGAATTGACACTACTACATAACCCAAATGCTGTACTTCATGTTCGCCACTAAATATCGATAACTTCTCAAACTGAAACCTTGAAACCTCACAGCTGTCTTTAACTTTAAAGTATCTTTTATCAATAAATACTCGGTTTTATACATATCATAGGTATCTTCAAGCGAAATGACTAGTAGATTCTGTATGTATACCAACTTTATCTTACATCTCTTGAAACATTTTCAATAAGTCATGTAAACTACTTATTAGTAGTTTAAACTGTCCAAATAAAATTTCCCAAAGTTGGAAAATCATACGGTATTTGTTATCACTGTAGGATTACGTAAAAAAAAACTGTCCTTTATAGTTTGTGCATTGTTTGTAAAAGCTAGTGACTTTTACCGGAGTTATAATGTTGTGAAATCATTTATGCATTTATTGTACAATATTTAAGGATTCAAGTGACACTTCTAACTTCATTTTGTTTTGCTGGGTCGAACTAATCCACCTTTGTTGACATATGGACTCCTACGCGAATCTCTCTCTAATATATAAATATTCATTGTAGATCCTAGTAGAGTAAGGAGTCTATAAAAAAAGGCCCACATAGATTTGTCTCTAATTACACATAGCCAAATAGTAGGATAGGACAGAGTGAAAGTCCTTAAAAGTAACATAGCAGGGTGGAGGAAGAGATTGATAACCGACTGAACCTTTCTTTATCGAATCAGCACGAAATATATGCAACAAGAATGACTCAAAACCTATTCTGGATATATAGAAAATTCTACTACCATTTATATCACAGCAGTCCGCTCTGTTCTACTCTATGGTTGTGAAACATGGCCATTGAAAGTGGAGGATACAAAAAGGCTCCAGGTGTTTGACCACCGTTGCCTTCTTAGTATAGGACGTATTCCGTGGTGTCACCATGTGAGTAATGCAGAAGTTAGGTGTAGAGTTTTGGGGAGAAGAGGTAAGTCAGTTGACGAGGTTGTGAAACTTCATCGACTGAGATGGTTGGGACACGTACTACGTATGCCTAGTCACCGATTGCCTCGTCACACAATGTTGGCTGAGGTGGGTTCCAGACTGGAAAAAGGCCCGAGGTGGCCAGACTAAAACATAGCACCAATGTATGAAGTGTTTGACTGTTGGTTTAAGCCATGTAGGATGATGCAGACTAGGTGGTTGGGGTCCACGGGATAAGAGGTACCAGTGGTTGGAGACCCTAGGTGATATAGCTCAGAACCGATGTCAGTGGCGCAGATGTATCCCCACACACATTATCTTCATCTTAACAACGCTATACCGAATCTCACCATTCTGTCACTCCTCTTTCCTTTCTTCTCGTACTTTATATTTCTTTTGACTGTATTCACTTATCTTCATCCTTCGCCTCACTACCTTTCTACTTGATGAACTGACGTGAGGTGTGGCAAGTTGGACCGTTACGCAGTAATGCCTGGTCCTATGTTGATAATGATGATTATATCACAGAAGATCCGCGGATAGTAATGATGGATAGTGGTTGGCAGTGGAATCCCCAGGGTGCTTATTTTGTCCTATTTGGGACTCGTCAACTGGATGTACCTGCCTCACATTGTTGTTCATATCGGAGCTTAAACTTGGTACCGATCACTTAAAACGCCAGAGCGTTGTCGTGAGTCGGTGATCTGGTGGATAACGCTCCGACATGTGAGATAGTTTGTCTCTAGTTCACTGGGAGGTAGGTACATCCAGCTGACGAGTCCTGGATTCCACTGCCAGCCACTGTCCATCATTACTATAAATAAAAAAACGGGTAATATGGGAGCCCATATGCCAACAGAAACCGATCGATTCGGTCCAATCAACAACGGTATAATACAAACAATAATACTATATAGAAGATCTCTTTAAGTTACGGAGTTATATTGATGTATGACTATAGACAATAAATTGTGCCTGAGGCATCATCCATTGAATAATACTCTTCCACTATGTCCTACATATAATAAATTAACTGAAATGGAATTACAATCTACTACAAGGCCGAAGTTTTACTCTTACGTTATTACTGTAATTTACTTGTTGGTAACTAACGGCTAAGTTATGATGATGAATATTCAAGCATTCTAAAAACATCCACGTAGGAGTTGATGTGGTAACAGTGGTTAATGAATTCTACGTTTGAAGTGATAGATGCGTGATTTGAGTCTCTGTGGGAACTCCATCACTCACTGGGGTGTAGGTACATCCAGCTTACAAGTACTAATTAAATAGGACAAAGCGTACATCCTAGACTCCATTGCTAGCCACCATGAAGTAAATTATGCAGCGGTGTTTGTGATACTTTTAGAAGTAGTTCTTCAACTTACTAGTAATGCCTTGTAATTTACTGGTTAATTCATCTTTGTCTTTTCTTTCCTTCTCATATCTTCGTATTTCAGAGAACTAGTTGAATATCACATGAAAACTCAAACTCCAGTGACTGCGAAATCAGGAGCTTGTCTTATTACACCGATTTCAAGACCTGATTGGGAATTAGACAATCGAGATATACAATTGTTACAAAAAATTGGCCAGGTGTGTTTTGTTGTTTGTTATATTCATCGTAATTACTTCCTTTTATATCTTATTCTGACTAAATGTGGTTGTAAACTGATTCTTGAATTACTAGTATTATTCTTAAGATCATAAATGTTAACCTTTTTAGTTTTCTATCATTGATTGAACAGCTTGATAGTGGCCAGCAGTGACACGGAGAACGTAGAAACAGAGAAAGTTATTGAGTTCCTATCCTAAAGAGAAGGTACCTGGCGATTGGAAGAAGGGTTACCTTGTCAAACTCTCGAAGAACGGCGACCTAAGTGTTTGCAAGAACTGGCACGAAATCACTCTCCTGTCCACATCAAGTAAAATATTAAGCCGCATCATCCTGGAGAGGCTAAAGGATGCACTGGATTCAAAACTACAACCGGAACAGGATGGCTGGCTGGATTCAGGAAGTACAAATCATGTGCCGACCAAATTGCAACGCCACACTACGCATCATCATAGAACAGAGTATAGAATGGCAGTCAACTCTCACTCTACCTCAACTTTATCGACTTTGAGAAGGCCTTTGACAGCGTCGACCGAGAGGTAATTTGGAAACTGCTTCAGTACTACAGAGTACCGCAAACCTTTATCCGCCTAATTCAACAACTATATGAAGACACCACATGCTAAGTAATTGACAATGGGAAGCTCAGCTCAGTGATGCTTTTGACGTGAAGTGAAGACAGGAGTGAAACAAGGTTGCCTACTATCCCCCATGATATTTCTTATTGTGGTGGACTGGATCATGCAGCAAACAGTGGGGAGCTGTGAGAAGAGGGGGATACACTGGACTGCGGAAAGGAACCTAGAAGATTTGGATTTCGCTAATGCCTTGTGCCTGATGTCACATAAACTTGAAGATGTACAGGCAAAAACTAACAAGTTGATAGAAGAGGCAGCGAAGACGGGACTTCAGGTGAATGTAGAGAAGACACAGGTGATGAAGATACAGCACCAACAACTCCAACTCCAACAACAAACTCCAATCACCATCAGTGGGAGAAACTTAAAGGAAGTAACCTCCTTCACCTATCTAGGCAGCACTGTTTCAACTACAGGTGTCACAGGCACAGACGAGGATGTCAAAACGAGTCAGAATCGGAAAAGCAAGACAGGCGTTCATTAGCCTGAAACCAGTGTGGAGATCTTCTGCACTGCACTCAACATGTGGAACGAGATGCGGATTTTTAACACCAACGTCAGTCAAATCAGTGCTTCTGTATGGTTGAAAGACTTGGCGCGTTACGAAAGTGATTTCCAATAAACTACAGACATTCATGAACAACTGCCTACACTGGCTCGCTTCTGAAGATCAGATGGCCAGAATAACAAGAATAAGCAACAAGGAGCTCTGGGAACGAACCAACGAAGCAAGAACCTATCGCTGAAGAAATATGCAGGAGGAAGTGGAGATGGATTGGGCATGCACTGAGAAGGTCGACTGGGGACATCACGTGTCAGACCAGTTGCTGGAGTGGAATCCCCATAGGAAGCGACGAGTTGGGCGTCTGAGGTGAGGGTGACATGGAGGAGATGGTGCGACGAGGAAATGAGAGGTTGTGGGCTGTCGTGGAACCAGGTTCCAAAGATTTCGGGGAACAGAGTTCACCGGAGACGTGCTACTGAAGCCCTATGTCCCATTGGGAACCCAAGGGACTAATAATAATAATAATAAATCCTAAGGAGAACCATTACCCAGGAAACTTTATCAGAATGTCGCTGCTCTGTTCATCAGCCAATAACACAGTCATCCACAGAAATCAACCAAACGATTATTCTAGCATCTATAAAGAATATATGAGAGACCAGGATAAGATTACTGAAACTGTTCATCTTCGCCTTCGCAGATATGAACACCAGCATGTAGACAAATATGGACAGGAATTCAACGTTGATAATGTTGAGATCCTAGGCAGCAGAGTTAAACGGCTTGTCAAAGAATTCCTAGAAGCATACTTACATAGACACGGATTAAATCTATCAACCAATTGGAAGCAACAAGAAAGTCATAGGTTCAGCAGATTAACAGTCAATGAAAAAATCTATCAAAGGAATTCAAAGGAAATAATCAATCAGAAACCATTTCTTCAGGGAAAGCTACTGAGCACTCTTTTACGGAGAAATCGTAGTAGTTCAGTTCATATTAATACTAATGCTGATGAGATTGTCTAGAAAGACAATGAAAGCTTTACGATGTAACCATACAGCTGAGGTTAGCTATGCGGTAACGAAACTTAGATAAGAAATACACTCAGTAACCACATGTATGTTCGTATACTAAACTATGAGGAATACTTGGTAATATTGTGAGAGTTAATGGTGCTACTTAACTGTCCAGATGTTACTTGATTGACAAGTTGTTAGAGCCTGTAGTTCATAGGGTTTAAGTTCGAGTACTCTGTGAGCAGTCGATTGAGAAGTAATTTGGCAGTTACTTCAACACTACGGAATACCACAAACCTTTATCAATCTCATTCAACAACTATATGAGGACGCCACATGCCAAGTAATTCACAATGGGAAGATCACTAATGCCTTTGAAGTGAAGTGAAGACAGGAGTAAGACAAGACCACCGTCTACTATCACCCATGATCTTCCTGATTGTGGTCGATTGTATCATGCAACAAACAGTGAGGAGCGAGAAGTGAGGGATACGCTGGACACGGGGAAAAGATCCTAGAAGATTTCGACTTTACCAATGATGACTTGTGTGTAATGTCACACAAACTTGAAGATGTACAGGCGAAAACTAACAAGTTGACAGAAGAGGCAGGGTGGGGTGTCGAAGACGGGACTCCCTTCAAGTGGATGTAGAGATGACAGAGGTGATGAAGATACCCAACTAACACACCACCAATAACATGCTCTAATCATCATCAGTGGGGAAAACCTAAAGGAATTAGCCTCCTTCACCTATCTAGGCAGTATCGTTTCAACTACAGGCGGAACAGACGAGGATTTCAAAGCCAGCCAGGAACGGAAAGGGAGCAAGACAGACGTTCATTAACCTGAAACTAGTGTAGAGATCTACTGAACTGCACTGCACTGCACTCAGAATAAAGCGTGAACAACATCCAGATTTTCAACACCAATTCAGTCAAGTGAGTCAGTGCTTATATGTGGTGGTTAAGAGACTTTGCACGTTACGAAAAGCATTTCCAGCAAACTACAGACAGACAACATCAACAACTGCCCCTTACGCTCACTCGATACTGAAGATCAGATCATATGAGATGGCCAGAAAGAATAAGCAAGGAGGAACTCTGGCTGGCTGGCTGGCAGCGAACCAATCGAGAACCTATAGCTCAACAACTATACAGAATGAAGTGGAGATTGATTGGATTCGGCATGCACTATGAGGGCCGACTGGGGACATCACGCACCAGGCCAGGCATTCGACTGGAACCCAGATGGGATACGATGAGTTTGGCGTCTGAGGCGGTGGTGACATGGAGGAGATGATGTGAGGAAGAAATGAGAGCATATGGACAATCGTGGAGCCCGGTTCAAAAGACTGGAGAGAAGAGAGTGGAATGGAGAAGTGTTACTGAAGCCCTATGTTCCACTAGGAACCCAAGGGACAAATAAATAAAAATAATACTCTGTTAGCAGTCATTTTAAAGTGTAGATTGTAGCGTAACTAGTGATCTTCTTGCGAAGGATATTGATTTTATATCCTTTCAATTGACCTACTGTTGATAAACTCAATTACTTAGAGTAATGCTTTTAATAGCATTCGAGATTTATGTACATGCGATACTTCTTATTTAATAGTAGAATGAGTGTGTTTGAAACATATACAGGCATCCTCTTAAAGATTCTTTCCTGTATACTTTGTAACTTGTGAACATTGTATAGACATATTTTCATTCTAGGGTAATTTTGGTGATGTTTATCGTGGTGTTTACAATGGTTGTGAAGTTGCAGTGAAAACTTGTCGTGTCGATATGACTGCATCTGATTTACGTAGAAAATTTCTTCAAGGTGAAACAACTGCGTTAAACTTTAACCATCCAAATATCGTGAAATTAGTTGGTATAGCTGTACAGTCTTATCCAATCATGATTGTGATGGAATATGTTCCAGGTTAGTTAATTTATTTTTGTATAAAACTGAAATGGTATTCGCCTTTTTTTGCTGTTTTATTTTGTACTACTTATTAAATTCAAGTAGTTAAAATATTATCTTTGAAGTTGTTGCAGCAACAGCGTAACCCTTTCTCAATTCAAGGAGATTAGTTATTACTCGAGTTTCGAGAATGACTTTTGATTGTCTCACATCAGTTTGACCGCTTTCAGTGTTGCCTTAATGTTTCATTGTAATTCAGTAATAATTAGCATACCTTCCAGTCCATATGATGCCTATGTCAAACTGCTTCTGGTTAACTGATTAGAGGTTCATCAATATGGTACACTTCGGTGGATATTAATTGGTTTCAGGCCAGCGGTAGGAAACTCTGAACCTATATTTCATAATTTCCGACAATTGTTAGCAAAGTGTATCTACAGTCTCATGGGAATTGACGTCTCCTGACAGATTTCAATCCACATCATCTAATGTTGTATCCAGAGACGTTGCTAATGAGCTGTTCATACAGCAAATGACCTCCCGTAGCAATGAATTCGATATATCTAGATGGATCACTCATGACTCAGGTTCTAATCTGTAAAGAGACAATTAATCCTGTGGAGGTTGTACAAACAACTTGCTAATGAATGCTGACCACCAAGAAGCCTGGATCCAGAGCCGCCTATAGATAACCTCCAACCATCGAACATGATTCTAGTTTCTTCTATGTACCTCTAACTTTTGTTTGTTTTTTCATTTATTTATAATTTTACAATAATAGGAGGTTCTCTTTTGAGTCATCTACGTAAATCGAAAAATGCCCTATCTGTTATGAAGTTACTTCAGATGAGTTTAGATGCTGCCAGTGGAATGAGTTACTTAGAAATGAAAAATTGTATCCATCGGTAAGTCTTTCAATTATCCACTTAGTTTGTATTTGTTTGTTTATTTACTTTTCGTAATGAATTTTGATAGCACTGTACGAAGTCAGACTATTTTTCATCTTACGTCTCTATTCGATGATAACATCAAATATGAAAGGTTGTTCTATGTAGGATTTAATTCGAGGATATTTCAGAAACTTGTAAGGGTCGAATACTTGTGTACTAGATAGATCCAGACAGATCGAATGAAGTCAGTTTCATCGGTAGACTTCCTGAAGTATTTCAGGTGCTAGGAATCTATGATTAATGGCTCTAAAGTCCGTAGTGATTGGTTAAGGGAGTGCAACCCACTTCATGTTGTCTAGTCCTGAGTGCAGACCGAATCCTATCGATCATACTTCCAATGTGACAACCAAGCTAGGAAGCTCAGCGTTGTGGTGCACATCAGTAGATGTTACTTGGTTGGAGGCAATTGGCAGGAACCCCTGGACCCAGATTTCGTGCTTCCTGGCACTCGTCAGCAAGGCGTATCTACAATTTCGATGGAACTGATGTCCCGTCTAAGATTCGAACCCGCATCACCCAGTGTCAGTGACTTTACCAATGAGCTATTGGGACAGCGACTGACTTCCTGTAGGACTGGTTTACATGTATTGATTGGTCACGGGAATGTAACCAATTTCATGTTGTCTAGTCCTGAATGTAGACCGATTCCTATCGATCATATTTGCAATGTGGTAATGTGGTTGCACTACCCTGACCAATCAATACATGTAAACCAGTCCTACAGGAGGTCAATCGTGGCCCGAATAGCTCAGTGGTAAGATCATTGACTACAACACTGGGTGACGTGGGTTTGAATGTCAGGTGGGACATCAGTTCCATCGATGTTGCAGATACGCCTTGTTGACGAGTACCAGGAAGCAGGAAACCAAGGTCGAGGGATTCCTGCCGATTGCCTCCAACCAAAGTGACCCTAAAGTCTGGCATAGTGACGCGAAAGTATGAAGGAATAAACTTACATTTAGATTGACTTGTTAAATCTTTCTCTGCGGTAAAGGTTCCAGTGGAAATTTTAGACATGCTAATTAACAGACATAGGACCTGACATTTCCTGCATAACAGGTCAGAACACCCAGTAACAAAGCACCTAGACAAAAGGAGTCAAAACTGCTAGAAATTCGTGCAAAGATAGGAAGAAGGAGAGATGCAAAGAAATACTGAATTCAGTAGGACAAGTAGGATTAAGATAGTGCATGTGTTTCGTACCAATCAAATGTAGGATGCTCCAGAACTGGTCTGGAACTACTCCTAGTTTAATGATGGAAAGTGAAGTGGTTGAATGTGTCGACCATGTAACTAATTTGGGGATTTGCATCCATTTGAACGGACTGGTTGCTGATATAATATCAACCGGGATACAGAAGGACTTATCAACTTGTGTAATTTGTGGCGCCGATTCGCGAGATATCTGACTATCTGTCGAAGGATAGGTATACTGCGCTTCAGTCCATCCTAACCTGTTATACACCTGAGAGACATGGGTGTTAGAAGTAGAAAGAATGAAGTGGTTGCAAGGTTTCTATCATAGGTGTCTTCAGAGCATTGCTCGCATCTCTGCTGGAATCACTGTGTGAGCAGTGTTAAGGTCAGGCGAACAGTATTAACCAAAACAGGCAAATCGATTGGTGAGGTTTTGAACGTTAATCGACTGAGGTAGCATAACGAGCCACTGCCTGCATTAACTTGACATTCGTAGATTCGTTAGATTAAAGGAGAGTTCGCAGTGACCACCAGACCAAAACATCGCCAGCAGTCGATGATGTCCCTGATCTGTATAGGGTTAGTAACTTGAGCTTAATTCTGTTGTGTATATTCACTTACTGCCACCATATTTTGTTCATATGTTCTAGCCCAATTCACCTCCTCCACTATTTGTGTTTATCACAGCGTATATCACTCGATAGGTACTTAATAAGTCTACTCGGATTCCATCATTCAGGTTAAAATTAATTCACGATCATGTCGTAATTTTTAGTTCAAACAACGGTGGAAAGAACTGGCGTGGAATCATGCTTCTGTCCACACCATGAAAATATTAAGCTACATCATCCTGGAGAGACTAAAATATGCGCTTGGTTCAAAATTACGACCGGAACAGGCCGGCTGGCTGGCTTTAGGAAGAACAAATCATTTACCGATCAAATTACAATGCTACGATACGCATCATCATAGAACAGAGCGTAGAATGGCAGGCAACTCAACTCAATCTCAACTTCATCGATTTTGAAAAGGTTTCGATAGCATCGACCGAGAATTAATTTGGAAACTACTTTAACACTACGGCGTCAGTGCCACAAACCTTTATCTACCTTATTCAACAACTATATAACGACGATACATGCCAAGTCATTCACAATGGAAAGCTCAGTGACACCTTTGAAGTGAAGTGAAGATAGGAGAAAGACAAGGCTGCTGCCTACTACCACCCATGTTCTTCCTGATTGTGGTCGACTGGACTGGATCATGCACCAAACTCTGAGGAGCTGTGAAACGATGAGCATACGTTATTTGATCGACGAAAAGACCCTCGATGATTTGGATTTCCTCGATGGTCGTTTATGTCTAATGTCGCACAAACTCAAAGATATGCAGGCGAAAAATAACAAGTTTGTAGAAGAGGTAACGAAGACGGGACTTACTTCAGGTGAACGCAGGGAAGACAGAGGTGATGAAGATACCCGACCAACAACAACAACAAGCACCAGTCAGCATGAACAGGGGGAATCTAGAGGAAGTTGTTTCTTTCACTTACCTACCTACCTACCTACCTAGGCAGCATCGTTTGAACTATAGATGGCATAGACACGGATGAGGATGTCAAAACTAGGATCGGAAAGACAACAAGACAGGCTTTCGCTCATCTGAAATCAATGTGAAGATCTATTGAACTCAACTCAGCATAAAGAAGAAGATCGGGGATTTTCAACACTGATTCAGCTAAGTCAGTGCTTCTGTGTGGTGATAGTTGAGAGACTTGGTGCGTTACGAAAAGCGTTTGCAACAAACTGCAGACATACATGAATGGCTGCCACCTACGCTCACTTGATAGTGAAGATCAGATGAGAAGGCAAGAAAGAATAACAAACAAGGAACTCTGACCTGGCTACGAACCAGCGAAGCAAGAAGCTATCGCTTCATAAATATTCAGAAGAAAGTGGAGATGGATTGGATTGGACATGGACTGAGAAGACGGTTTGGGGATATTATGCGGCATACCCTTGATTGGAACCCGAAGTGGAAACGACGAGTTGGGTGTTTGAGGGTGACATGGAGGAGATCGTGTGAGGAAGAAATGAAAGCTTGTAGGCAGTCGTGGTGCAAGGTTTAAAAGACTACAGAAAACAGAGTGAAATCGCCACGTGCTACTGAAGCTTCATGTCCCGCTAAAAACCCAAGGGACAGATAATAAGTAATAATAATAATAATAATAATAATAATAATAATAATAATAATAATAATCAGCGACTGTACTTTTTATTCGATTTTGTAAAAGATACGATAAGAGTTTTTTATCTTTGATGATCAGTTCCACTGTTTGATTGCTCAGAGGATTTTTCCACAGACTGATGATTCAGTAAGGTTCTGTTTACAAAGCAAGAAGAATTGGAAAATCTGTCCATAAGGTGTCTGAAGTAGAACTGTTGGTGCTAGTAGGTTGGAGGTAATCGGCAGGAATCCCTCGACCTTGGTTTCCTGCTTCCTGGTACTCGTCAACAAGGCGTATCTGCAACATCGATGGGACTGATGTCCCACCTGACATTCAAACCCACGTCACCCAGTGTTGTAGTCAATGATCTTACCACTGAGCTATTCGGGCCACGATTGACCTCCTGTAGGACTGGTTTACATGTATTGATTGGTCAGGGTAGTGCAACCACATTACCACATTGCAAATATGATCGATAGGAATCGGTCTATATTCAGGACTAGACAACATGAAATTGGTTACATTCCCGTGACCAATCAATACATAAAACTTGTTGATGTTGGAAATGATATTGTTAACAGAAATTCAACTTATCTATCGCTTCGTCTTTTTCGGTGCATAAGTCAGCAATCAAAATGTCTAGTGTCGATGAGATATTGGTTCGCTTACCAAACCTTATGTGTACAGTAGATTAGTAAGCTGTTTTATCTTATATATACAGAATACTCTTGATGATAGGTGAATAGATCAGCCCTACTTTATTAACGCTAATCAATTATCGTACAATTATTAATAAATTAAACTGGTGAACACAATTCAGTCTAGTACGTTTTTATTTCATAACCTTATGAGTTACATTTTTGTTTCACGGCGTAGTGGGATATTTTAACCCTTAATACATTGCTTGAGAGTTGAATATTCTAAAGTTACCAAGAGTGATCAGTATTACAACTAGTTGTATCTTTTGCGACAGAGTTAAGTTGAGATTATTGATCTATGTTAGAAGGGATGATTTAGACAAGTTTTCCATACTCAATCGTTTGTTAAATAGTTTTGTAAAAAATCTTATTTATTGATATTATTATTTGTCCCTTGGGTTCCTAGTGGAACATAAGGCTTCAGTAACACTTCTCCATTCCACTCTCTTCTCTCCAGTCTTTTGAACCGGGCTCCACGATTGTCCATATGCTCTCATTTCTTCCTCACATCATCTCCTCCATGTCACCCTCACCTCAGACGCCAAACTCATCGTATCCCATCTGGGTTCCACTCAAATGCCTGGTCTGGTGCGTGATGTCCCCAATCGGCCTTCATAGTGCATGCCGAATCCAATCCATCTCCACTTCGTTCTGCATATTTGTTGAGCGATAGGTTCTCGATTGGTTCGCTGCCAGCCAGCCAGCCAGCCAGCCAGCCAGCCAGCCAGCCAGCCAGCCAGCCAGCCAGAGTTCCTCCTTGCTTATTCTTTCTGGCCATCTCATCTGATCTGATCTTCAGTATCGAGTGAGTGTAAGGGGCAGTTGTTGATGAT